CTTGGGCAGCACCTGTGGCTCCGTGAGTAGGGTGCCAGGCGCTGGCCCCATATACCGAGGGTGGCAGGTTTGAACCCAACCCCAGTCACATTACATGGAATCTAGAAATACTGATTTTAAGACATACCAGACGTCCCAGCTACTTGGGAGGCTGAGGCAAGAGAATCACCTAAGCTCAAGAGCTGGAGGTCTCTGTGAGCTGTGATGCCATGGCAATCTACCTACTGAGGGTGACAAAGTGAGACTGTCTCTAAAATAAATAAATAAAAAAATTTTATTCCATTTTAAATCTTTATTATAACTATTATTATGCCCATTACAACCACAGAAAGCTTTTTAGGTCTTCTTTCTTTTTTTCCTGATCATTTTTTAAATAGGATTTTCTATTATATTTTGGAATCTTTAAAAAAAAAACAGTATTTAGATTTGTGGCAATATTCTGCCATTTTTACTGATTGCTTTTATGATGCTGTTTTTTCTTCATTGATCTACAGTTTTACTATGTTGTAATTAGTTCTAGATTCATTTCTATGTTTAGAACTTGTATCTAAAGACTTGTGCCTTTCTTCAGTTTTGGAAAACTATCAGCTTAATCTCTTCCAATGTACCTTCCTCATTATTGTCCTCTAGAATTTCTATTAGAAATATTTTAGAGTTTCTTGATTTACCTTCTGTGGCTCCTAACCACTCTTTCATATTTTATATCTCTTTTTTGTGTAATATGCTCTTTGGGTTATTTAGTAATATCTTCAGTAATGCTCATATTATCTGTGTGCTGTATAGAATGTGTTCTTTTTAGTTTTTTAAGTTAGCTTTTTTATTGTCTAGGAGTATTTTTTGTGTCTGTCTATTCTTATTTCTTTGTTTTAAATTTCTTGTTCTTAAACATATTGATCTCGCGCATCTCTGAGGATTATAACATATTTATTTAAAAGTCTTCTTTGGACATTTTTTATTTTAATCTTATTTGGGGAGAAGCCAAGTGCCAATCATCAATTTTATTGTCTTGCTTACTATTAAACATTTGTGGGTGTTTTTGTGTTTAGTTTGCTTATTTCCCCAGCATGACCTCTTAGCCTCTCCCTTTAGCTCAATGTGATAATTAGACAATTGCCTCCACTCACCACTTCAAGCCTCCCAATTCAGAGCCAGATCTGGAGGCTTAGATGCCTTCCCTGGAGAGTCAGTATGCTAGTTGGCTCAGGGTGTGGGTCTGCACTTAGGCACTCCTGCCTTCCACGCTCCACCTGAGCTATAGTCAGCAGCCGCAGCTCTCAGCCTCCTTCTCCCAGGAGTGGAGCTTCACCCAAGGTTCTTTTCTCATGTAGAAACCTTAGCTCAAGTCCCATGCTCCAAATAGGTGCTTTTAAACTACCACTATAAGAGCCAGAATCTTAGCTTATTTTCTTTCATTTCTGTCCCACTTCTACTCTCAGAATTATGAGATTTCCAGTTTATCTTTTGAACCAAAAATGTCTGGGTCTGACATATAACCAAGGTCAGGCTGGCTTCCCTTCTACACAGTGACATTTACGTTGTGAGTGAGCTGTCCCTCAAAGACCTCATGGGGCCAAAAGCTTTTCTTAGAAACAGTGGTTCTTTTTTGAGCCACATTTTCAGAGATTCCCTTTCCTTTACCTGTGATTCAAATGTTACATGAAAACAATACATCCAATGGGCCAGCTGGGAGAGCTAGTTTTTAATCTAGTTCTGTCACTTACTGGATGTATAGCCCTTGGGAAACAATTTTCCACATTGAATCTTCATTTTCTAATCTATAACTTTTTAGAGAAATTATGAAAATGAAATAGCATATCATCTGTGAAAGCATAATAGAAGTACTAATGTGCCATGGAAATGTTTAACTGTGTGTTTCCTAGTGATTGAAAGCTTTAGAAGTCTATTTAGAACAGATTCAATGCATGATGGTTGAGGGTTGTTTCAGGAAGCCATTCCTTCATGTATTCATTTGTCTACTATTGACTGAGCAAGTGTGTACCAGGCACAGAACTAGGCACAGTGAAGTGACACAGCCCAGTATGGTGAGATGTCACATATAGTTTAATTCTCACCTAATTATAAGAGCTTTTACATTTGACCAAATAGATGATGGAAATGTCAGTAACAGAGGTAACTAGAAACAGATGCTGAAAAAAATAGGGAAGTTTATTTACAGACTAAAAACCACTAGTCACTGGGACACTTCTGCTCTTTACACTGGTGTTTTCTTGGTTTGAATGACGACATCCTTAAATGACTGGTCCACATCAACAAATTAGATATTTTTAAACTTTAATTTTCATAAAAATTAACTACTCAGAAATCTGTGACTGTATGTTTTTGAATGCAAATGCAGAAGTACAATGTTTTCTTCTTTCTATATTTACTTTTGATTGTCAACTTACCCTTAAGCTCTTTCATCTCACCCTATTCTCTTGTTGGAGGTAAATACCTATAACAAAGATGAAATGGGTTTGTGTTATATGCCAGATCTTTGCCAGTCTAAATTCTGTAGGTCCCTAATTTTGACTTTCACAGAGTCACAAGTGTACACAGATAACATGAGCTGTGAAAAAGGAAGCAATGCAGTCTTATAGCCAGTCTAGACCATTACCGTACAGAAAGAGCAAGAGATTGACTGAGCCATGCATGGCATTGCTTTGATTTATTGCATGGAATATTGGCAACCATAGGACTGCTATTAAATGTTACTATTATCAAGGTTTGGAAAATGCTGCCCAGTTGTTATTCAGTCTTTGAAGACTAAAGAATGAGCCATGTTTTCCTTAAGCATTGAATGATGTTCTTATAATTTTATTATTTTCTTTCCCCTAGGCCTTCCCCTCCCAAATATGTTTTTTTCTCCTTTTGCTTTTTAGCCATAATCTACTCCTTCCAGACTTGTTTCTACAAAAGACCGCTTAGTTACAGCTAGACTGTCTTTCCTTGAGCATACATGGCAAACCTGAGCTGTGCCCACTTGCTAGGCTTGTTGTAGGGACCTGGAATGGCAAAGGAAAGGGTGGAGTGGAGGACAAGAAGCAAGAGGGAGAGTGAGCCAGTGATGGTGTCTTGCCAGATGTCTTCTGCCTGGTTTGCTTTCAGTTTCCATCGCCTCAGCCTCCTCTGAGGGTTAGGCCAGGCTTTGCGTGTTGTCTTTAACCAATACGGCCTCCACTCCATTCCCACAGCAGGCCACAGCTCTCATGTGCTGTGAAGAAGCAGTTGAAACATCATTGCGCTTAACAGTATTCTAAATTGAGCCCTCTGAGGAAGCGCTTCAGATGAGATCTGTTCTTCTCTCTGGTTTGGTAAATAAATAGGTGTCCAGCAGTGGAAAAGGCCATCTTAGTGCCCCAGGCTTATATGTGTAGGTTGATAATATTTATAAAGTATTTACTAATTTTTAGTCGCATGAACATTTTAAATATTAACTGAAAACCATAAAAAGATAAGAAACTTGTATACATGTTTCAAATACTTCTATTTGAAAAAAATCAAAATCAAAACCAACTGTAACTCAAAGCCTGACGAGGCACCTTCCCCTCCACATCTAGAGCACCCTGAACGGCGGGTCCCAGGCTGCTGAACATTTTCCATCTATTAACTCATGTCATGCTCAGTAGGTTCCCAGATTCGATCTATTATTGTCTTCATCCTGCAGCTGGGGAATCCCAGAATGTAAATCCTTGCCTAAACAGCAAGTAAGTTTTTACAAACACAATCTGGATTCAAACTATTTTTTTAATACAAAATACATTTCATTGTTTCTTCTTATTTCTAAAAGAAAAGTTGGTGGTGCTGCTAGATTATTTCTTCAGAAACCGGTATTCCCAATACATTCCTTTCATACAGCAAAAGTCTTTTACATGAATGGGAGGAATGGGTAGTGCTGGAAAGAAAGGGAAAAAAATCAAATCTCAACACAGAGAATTAAACTACGTTTTACTAGGGGTTCCTAATAGTTAGTGCTTTTCTTCTTCTATCTCACAGCAAAGCTTGAAGAAAAAATGGGTGGAGCTCAGATCGCTGCAGTTACAGGAACAGCGCCTACTTCATGGTAAGTGCAGTTTCCTGTTCAGAAACCGCACTAACATCTCAGCCTCTCAGTATTTTTGGCCCTAAGTTACTTAAAAGTGTCATCATTGCAAGAAACATTTTTCTATCACCAATCAGGGTTCCCATCTTATGTTTTCTTGCTGTGCATGTCAGAGTGAGTGTATATTTGGAAGAGGAGTAAGTCAAGTCAGATCCCCTTATTCATACACACACCTGTGTACATGAAAACAAGTACACACACACACACACACACACACACACGGCTTGCAGAGGCTCCTGGAGATTTTAGAGGAGCACGGGAAAGACTGCCTGACTTTCCTACCCTACTTCAGCAAATGAATTAAATTCCTGAAAATGAGACTAGCTCAGGGGTTCATTTGTAGAAATTTCTAGAAGATATTGAAGCTAGAATAGTTTGCATGCTTCTAGAGCAGAGCTCTTACCATTTGTTCAAATTTTGTAAGTTACATTAAAGCAGAGAAACCCTTCACAGCAAGACAGAGATGTGTAAGATTATAATAATAGTAAATGCATAGTTTGAAAGAAAGGGTTGAGTTTAAAATTTGTTGATTTGCTGTTGGCTGTGTGACTGGTGTAACCTGAGGAATGAACTTTCATATACTAATAATTCACTGTAACCTGTACTGTGTGGGTGTGAAATATGGGTTATATCTTCTTTAGATAACACTAAGTTTAAGTCTCTATTTATAGCCCAGTCTTCTCTTTCCAAATTTAGAGCAAACATTCAATGCCTGAGATTATACAAAACAATTGCTCTCCAATCAAAAGAAATTCATCAGCTTTTTGCAAGATGAAATAAAGTAGGCTGTATTAGCAAAAAAGAAAGCATTATAACTCGTCATTGCAGTGCTGGTCATACTAAACCTGGCAAATCAAATGGAAAAAAAACAAAGTCTCTTTTAATATTTTTAACCAAGGACAAAGGGGAGCAACATAAAGATAATTACTACAGAAATAAAGTATTTCCGAGTATGAAGTACTCTGCTACTTTTTCTAAAGTAGAGTCATCGTCTAATTACATTTTTCTCATGCTGATATCATAAGTACTCTATTTTATTTAGCAACATACTAACCAACTCCAACAGTGAAGAATCAGGTGGAGCATGGGCAGGATATTGATATGGTATTAACATTTGAATTTGGAGAGCCAGGTGGAGGTTATGAAAAGTTGATGAAAAAATTCAGCCAAGCGGATAACATTCGATTTCTTCAAATAAATTATTTCTCATTTGAGGATAGGAAAGCTTTCTGGATACACTATCATTCTAGAACATTTAAGTATTATGAATTGAAACTTGGAATAGTGAGGCTGGAAGACATATTTGCTTTGATCAAAACCTGTCATGAACCCCTTTAAATTATCTGTTTTATAAATATGTTTCCCACATACTTCAATTAATTTTATAATAATTTTACAATTATTTTAAAGGCAGTAACCATGAATCAGAGGAACTAAATGGAAAAAGTCATCAGATAGTATTTCCACAGTCTTCCTTGGCACACCATCTGTGAGAATTTTAATAAAAGATTTCAAGGTCATTTAAGTTTCAGAAGTGACTATTTTGTAGATTTGAAGTCACATCAGCATACTGTCAGTTGGCTGGAATGTCCTCCTACAAAGTATCTTGTTTAAATTTAGTCTCACATCATAATTTTTGTGACCGTGGAAACGTTCCCAAGGAAGCTAGTCCGTGAACGAAAGTTTGGGAAGCCCTGCTATGAGGTTTATCAGATGGCCTCTTAACCAGTCACTAATTCACACAAGTGAAATATTTTCCACCCCCCATTCTTTCTTGTGTTTTTCTTTTTCTTTTTGTTTTTTTTTAATTTATTGAATGGTAATTATGTACATTAATGCACTTCTGGGGTACAGTGTGGGGTTTTCACATGCAATCTGAAATACTTCCATCAAACTGGTCAACACAGCCTTCATGTCATTTTCTCAGTTATTGCTTTAAAACGTTCACATTCTACTCTTAGAAAGATTCACCTGTACCCCTATAAGATAAACCTCAGAAGTGATCCCTCCAAACCCCCTCCCTCCACCCATTCCCCCCTCCCCTCTCCCTCCCCCTCTTGTGTTTTTCAAAGAGCAATTTGGGTGCACTGCATTTATTCGTAGAGGGTGATGCACGGGTTGATTTCACAGTAGACTTTGTGCTCTGTACTCCAGGCGACGCAGCCAACTGCCCGAGTCTGGAAAGCGTGGACGTGGAGGAACTGTCCCTGTTTGGAACTCTCCCTGGGCCAGGCCCGGTCCTGGGGGACCGGAATCGATTGTCCAGCGCGAGCAGCTGTAAGAGCTGGCTGAGCTCGATGACCATGGACAGTGAGGACGGCTACCAGACGTGCGTGTCCGAGGACTCCAGCAGGGGCGCCTTCAGCCGCCAGACCAGCACGGATGACGAGTGTTTTGTCCTCAAGGACGGTGAGGATTTTCTGAGGAGGTCTTCCCTAAGGAGAGACCGCAGCATCAGCACCACCAGCAGCGGGTCCATGTCTCCCTTGTGGGAAGGCAACTTCGCAAGCCCGTTTGGGACCCTGCCTCGCAAGAGCAGGAAGGGCAGCGTCCGGAAGCAACTCTTGAAATTCATCCCTGGTCTTCACCGCGCTGTGGAAGAGGAAGAGAGTCGCTTTTGACCCTGCGGTGGTGCCCTTTTCAAATTAGCTTATTGCATAAGTATCTCAAGACTCCACTAGATCAACTTCCACTCAGCTTGGTGGGAAAGTACAGATGGATCGCTACACTGGCACCCCCTTTCACAGCAACAGTGACCTTTATTTAAATCTGTGTATCTTATTTTTTTTTTTTTTTTTTGCAACTGAGGTTCTGTTTTAACTAGAACAGCGGTTCTAAGCAAACATTAGAGAAATTAAATAAGTCAGATAATACAACAAATCAGTGCAATTGGCTGTTCATTCTACTGCCTGTAAAAGCAAGAGTGATCTTTATTATTTTTTGGGTTATTCTTGTGAAAAATGGAGAACTTTTTGGAGTTAAGTGTGAATAAAAGAGTAGCAAAATAGAATTTCTGGGCTACATTCCACAGGATAATTGGTAGGTCGCAAATTCTAATGTTTGCTTAAGCTTAGTAGCTCCTGGGAAGGGGTCATAATAGGCAATTTGGAATGTTTCTGTTCAAATCTAAGAATGGGTTAGAAACAAAGGTGACCATCAGCCTTTTCTCCTGTTCATAGTAACAATCAAGCAGGAAGTAGAAGATTTAATATAAGGGGTTAAGCTTCATGAATAACATGGAAAGATGTCTGAGATGGGCACTGAGGAAGATTATAATAAGTCTCTTTAACTGGCAGTCTAAACAAAGTGTGTGGGAATCTCAGCTGTCTTGCCTAATTTGACTTTTGTTCTACCTGACCATTGATGATGCATCTAGAACTCTTTGTGATGATGATGATGATGATTTTGCTACAAATGGCTAAAATCCAAAAAGAAAATTAGGAAATCATTCACCACTCCTGTAGATTACCTCTCACTTTATGTTACATATTCCAAATATTTACTGCCTCAGCAGTATTTTGTGTGTTAGTTATCAATATCGCGTTACTTCCGGCCTTAAAATCCCTCTATATTTTATTCAATATCTATTAAAGTCCATGACTTCTCTGTTCTAGTGACACAGATGTTCAACAACTGTATTCCAGAATAGACAATTTGGACCATGTAATAGTCTTTACTTATTTTAAGTTGTGTGTGTGTTTGGGAGAAATAGGTGCTACACTCCAGTAAATTTTTGATTAATTTAAGTAATGAGTTATTTTGAGAAAAAAAGAAGAGGGTAGGATAAAGAAGCTTATAGGATAAGAAGTAATAAAATAAAATATCAAAAGATTTCTAGTTGAGACCTGATGTCAATTTCTTTGAACTCAGAAACATCTGGTAGACTCCGCATCTGAGGGTCATTCAGATGAAAGGCAGAGAGAGGATAGCACTTTTCACAGATACAATACAAATCCTGTCTACCATTTACTGAATGCCTAACAAGCTAAAAGCATTTTACACGTGATCCCCACATTAACCCTATAGGAGTTGTTTGATGTACAGATGAGAAAGCAGGAATTTGGTTACATAGTCCGTGGCAACACGGACATTAAAAGCAGGTCTTCCAAGCTCTAGCCTATTCTAGTCTCTCTGGATAATCGTTTACTCTTTTGCTAGTTCTGTTTTATGCCCACCACAGTAATTTTTATTACACCCAGCAGGAATACTTAAAACGTATGATTGTAGATACTGTACTGTCTTTGATAAACAGGAAAACAAACATTTAGGATGACTCTGTTGGCCTCCACAAGCAAATTTTCAGATATAGGTACATTGATATCTGCATGGCTAGCAACACACTTAGTTTCAAAAAGAGCTTGCAAACCAGTTATGATTCATCGGGTATTGCGTATTTCTCATCACAGGCTAGAATTGTCATGTTAAAGACCTGCTTGTGTGAATGCAGCATTTACTACTAATTCTATTTCACAAATCCCATAGGAAAGAAATATTCTATTTGACAAAAGATGACTTTTAAGTCTTCTACAAAGTGAAAAAATGCTTTGAGAACTAGTGCAGGTTCTATGGGAAAGCTGACCACAGATCATTTGCTTTTCTTGTGGCTTCAGTACAAAAGTGTAATACTTTCTGTAAGGTAGTAGATATCAAATGTGAAAAAAAGAAGCATGGAAGGGACAGAAGAAGAATTACTTTAAATTTGTGATGAGAATTAGGGTCAAGATTTAGATATGTTCTGGGAAAAAAGAAAAGCACTGGTTAACCAAGATACAGGAAGGGAGGGTATATCATATTTATATATTCACAAGTGGTAAGAAAGCCAGCATTTGTTTAGTAGAAATGTGGGTAAGTTTCTCACAGCATAGCTTTTCAGACTAAGCCTGACCTCACCGGAGCTTTAGAAGAACATTATGGTGTGTTGTGACTCATTTTGGTATAATTTACTGGGAAAAAATTGAAAAGTATTTTTATTTTTCAAAAGTATTAATACTTTTCAAAAGTATTTTACCCAAAGTGGCCAAATATGAAATATTGGTGAATTATATTAATTGACAATTTGTTATGAAAATGTATTTTTCTATAATGGCACTTGATAAACCAAATTTGCATAAAACATATTGGGAATTAGTTTGTTATGTGGCTGAAGGGATACCACCATGTTAAGCTTATTGGTAATACATTTTTGGAAACAAACTTTTTATTCATTACTTTATGCTCTGCAATTCTATATCTTAGGTGCATGCAACAAATAGTATTGAAAATTTTAGTTTGGGCTCGATGTCCAAAGCACAGTGGTTACAGTGCCGGCCACGTACACTGAATCTGGCAGGTTTGAACCCAGCCTGGACCAGCTAAGCAACAATGACAACTGCAACAGAAAAATAGCCAGGCATTGTGGCGGGTACCTGTAGTCCCAGCTACTTGGGAGGCTGAGGCAAGAGAATTGCTTAA